CCACACCCGGGGGGAGAGAGACCCCGGGCGCAGCCGGGTACCCCATCTTGTATCTTATACACAAGAGACACAGCTCCTCGGCCCCCCGCCTTTTTCATGGCTATCATGGCTGTTCCTTGACGAACTGTCAGCCTCACTCTCCTCTCATCTGTTTGCTTCCATAGCTTTCACTGCAGCTATTTTCATAAACAAAGAAAAGGTCATTATTAAAAACTGGGTCCAAGAGCTGGAACCCCACTCAGCCTACAGCCTTCCTCGAGTTTTTTTTAATATTTGTAAATACAGAGAGCGGGCGAACCCTTTCAGAAGGTTGTCTTCAAACAGAGGAAGCAAAGCAAAGTAAAATTATTTTGAGTAGACACCACTAAGGGAGCCGGTCGGCCGAGCGGACAGCACACTGAACTTGTGATCCTGTGGTCCCAGGTTCGATCCTGGGCGCCGGCGAGAAACAATGGGCAGAGTTTCTTTCACCCTATGCCCCTGTTATCTAGCAGTAAAATAGGTACCTGGGTGTTAGTCAGCTTTCACGGGCTGCTTCCTGGGGGTGGAGGCCTGGTCGAGGACCGGATCGCGGGGACACTAAAGCCCCGAAATCATCTCAAGATAACCTCAAGAAGGCGGCATGACTGTAGTGTAATTGCCAGTAATATATGGACAAGAGGCTTGGATATGAAAACGTAGTAGAGGTATCGTGCCCAACCAATTGGACCATCGGGAATCGAACGCCGACCCCTGCAAAAATCGAGAAACCATCTTTTAGAGTACAGTATAGCTACTGAACCAAAACAAGCATCGCTAAGGATATGAATTCTGGAGATATGAAGAATATGAAGGGGAATACTTGCGGTTATCTTGAGATGATTTCGGGGATTAGCGTTCCCGCGGCCCGGTCCTCGACCAGGCCTCTTTTTTTGTTACACATCCCCAGAAAGCAGCCCGTAGCAGCTGTCTAACTCCTAGGTACCTATTTGCTGTTAGGTGAATAGGGGTATAAGGGTGAAAAACTGCCCATTTGTTTCCGCTTCCACCGGGGATCGAACCCGGAATCTTAGGACTACGAATCCCAAGCGCTGTCCAATCAGATGTCAGGCTCCCTTAACTCCATCTTAAACTCCATAAACTTAACTCCACAAACCATTGTCCTTCCTCGGAGACCAAATGAGCAACGGAGAACAACTTAAGGCAAACTTATAAACTTAAGGCAGACTTATAGTCTTAAACACAGACAGACTAAGAGACTTTCTGCAGGCGATGAGTCACAATAACGTGGCTGAAGTATGTTGACCAGACCACACACTAGAAATTGAAGGGACGACGACGTTTCGGTCCGTCCTGGATCATTCTCAAGTCGATTGTCGAAACGTCGTCGTCCCTTCAATTTCTAGTGTGTGGTCTGGTCATCAAGAGACTTTCTGCTTTATTATGATAAATGACTGACTGTTCTTTTCTTAGCGAGCGTCCTGCTGACTTCCCTCTCATGCGGGTTCTTCCCGTATAATTCGTCTGTCTTGTGAGGTTCAAGTAAGTTTATCGAGGTAATGAAATACATCTCAAAAGGATGAAGTAGCTTAAGCTATATCTCCCCTCCTCCTGTGAGGTCCAGTCGGGCGACTTTCTTCTGTTTCCTAACAGTAATGTACTTTCACGTTGTTGATTTTTATTATCGTCTTCGAAAGATTATTTCCTGAAGTTCTTTACGAAAGCTTATTATTTTAAATATTGTAATTTTTTCCGTATCCATCCGGGATAGTGCTTATGTTAAGTGTTACTGTGAGATAACAAGACACGCAGCTATCGTAGTTTATGTGGAGGGTTAGACTGAGGTAGCAAGTCACGCAGCTATCGTAGTTTATGGGAACAGTTAGACTGAGGTAGGTACACACGTAGATATCGTAGTTTATGGGAACAGTTAGACTGAGGTAGGTACACACGTAGCTATCGTAGTTTATGTGGAGGGTTAGACTGAGGTAGCAAGTCACGCAGCTATCGTAGTTTATGTGGAGGGTTAGACTGAGGTAGCAAGTCACGTAGATATCGTAGTTTATGGGAACAGTTCCCACCAAACACACACCGAAACTACGACGTTGGCACAACGTTCGAGCAAGTTTTAACACCACCTAACCAGTTATAACAACCAATATAGCAAGTTGTAACAACGTTCTAATACGTCATAAACACGTTAAGCCAAGATGTAACAACTTTATTTCAAGTTGTAACAAGCGGAAAATAGAGACAGTTTCGGTTTGTGTTTCCAGGGGTTAGACTGAGGTAGGTACACACGTAGATATCGTAGTTGAGGATCCGTTGTGTAGGATAGCCGCAGTGACCGCTGGCTGGGTGACCAGTACTGACTACTAAGCTCGATTTATTTCGTCACATAGATGGGGTTAGTGGCCGTTTATCAGCAGATTATTAGCTAAGAGCTGAGGAACACTTGGAAGTCGGCCATGGGGTAGGTGACGTGCAGCAGGCATGGGGGGGGGGGGATAGGGAGGGCTTACAAGATATGGAGAAAGAGAGATTACGATGGGTAAGGAGGGATTACAAAGTGTGGGGCTGGATTAGCAGAAGGACGGAGGGAATTCCAGGAATGGGGAAGAATTTCCAGGGGCAGAAAGAATTGCTAAATTATTGGATCAGATTCAGTAAATGTTTGCTAAGACTTGGGCGGAAGACTGGACTAGAGCATAAGAAATGTATTAAAACCTTTCAAATAATGACTAACTCTCTCATAGTTGTAGAGTAGCGACAGTACCGAGTCAGCGTTGTTATGTTGTGGTCTACACTCACAGGGATGTCACAGTCTGGTGGGACTGTGCCAAAAAAAGTCTTAAACCACTTCACGAAAAATTAGCTTGAAAACAAAAAAAAAGAGGTTAGCAGTGTGACGTCACCGATGACGTCACTGTGTTGTGAGCAGCTGGTGGTGGAGGTGAGAGGACCAGTCGGCTGCGTGACACCGTCAGTGAAGGGTCGCATTCACCTCTTCTCTCGGGTCATCCATTTGTATTGGATTGTGCAGGTAATATTTTTTTTCGAGCCAGGGAAGGGGGGAGTTTGGTATAGGTTCTGACCCATAATTTTACTGATATAACTATGCTGTCCTCTTTGTTATCTTTAAATGTTATTACTATTTTTGGCATATTATAATATATATCAATTTTAGGTGCTTCCCGGCAGTGCCCTCATCTGTATACCTTCTATCTCTATCTTTATATATTTATCTATATAAACAAGTGCTAAACACTTATTCAGCACGGGTGTACTACGCTAAACAGTTTACCTTTATCTACCTTGTCAATTCCTCTGAGAATTTTATAGGTAGTGATCATGTCTCCCATAACTCTTCTGTTTTCCAATGTCGTTAGATTCAGTTCAGCAACTTTTCCTCATGTCTGCCTCCACCACATCACTTCCTAATGCATTCTAATTGTCAACTACTCTGACACTAACAAAAAAATTTAATTTCTCTATGGCTCATTTGGGCACTCAATTTCCACCTGTGTCCCATAGTGCGTGTGCCCCTTGTGTTAAATAGTCTGTTTTTATCTACCCCCTATCAATTCCTCTGAGAATCTTCTATGTGGTGATCATGTCCCCCCTAACTCTTCTGTCTCCCAGTGACGTGAGGTTTAATTCCCGTAGTCTCCCCTCGTAGCTCATACCCCTCAGTTCGGGTACTAGTCTGGTGGCAAACCTTTGAACCTTTTCCAGTTTAGTCTTATGCTTGACTAGATATGAACTCCATGCTGTGTACTCACCTAATTGTACTTGCGGGGGCTGAGCTCTGGCTCTTTGGTCCCGCCTTTCAACTGTCAATCAACTGATGTACAGGTTCCTGAGCCTACTGGGCTCTATCATATCTTCATTTGAAACTGTGTATGAAGTCAGTCTCCACCACATCACTGCCTAATGCATTCCATTTATTAAAGCTACTGACACTGAAAAAAAAATTCTAACGTCTCTGTGGCTCATCTGGGTATTAAGTTTCCACCTGTGTCCCCTTGTTCGTGTTCCGCCCGTGCTGAAGAGTTTGTCTTTGTCCACCCTGTCAATTCCCCTAAGAATTTTGTAGGTGGTTATCATGTGTGTGTGTGTTTATTGTTTATCGTGTGTGTGTGTGTGTGTATTCACCTAATTGTGCTTGCGGGGGTTGAGCTTTTGTTCTTTCGGCCCGCCTCTCAACTGTCAATCAACTGTTTGCTAACTACTTTTTTTTCCACACCACACACACACACCAGGACGCAGCCCGTGACAGCTGACTAACTCCCAGGTACCTATTTACTTCTAGGTAACAGGGGCATTCAGGGTGAAAGAAACTTTGCCCATTTGTTTCTGCCTCGTGCGGGAATCGAACCCGCGCCACAGAATTACGTGTGTGTGTGTGTGTGCGTGCGTGTGCGCGCGCAAGCTTTCAGGTTATAGTATCAGATATCGCAATGTAATATTAACTGTGCAAAGAGGTGCACTTTGAGTTAAAATAGTACAAGCGTAATGTTATCACACGGAGTAATGCAGGCGGGGATACTTGTACATTTATAATTTGTTCCATTAAGTTGTGGTCTTGACTCCTAGTTCCTCGAGTCTGAGGAGGCTTCTAGTATCACCGGGACTAGTATTCATCTACTAGTTCCAATGAATGGGTCATCTACTAGCACCCGAGGGTCCAGGGTCCATCTCCTAGTAATGCAGGATTGACTTGTCATCGACTCCATTGCCTATATGTTCTAGGGAATCTAGTCTTCACTCGAACGAGTCCAGGAAGGAATGGTGCCCAACCACTTAGACGGTAGGGGATTGAACGCCGGCCTGCATGAAGCGAGACCGTCGCTCTACCGTCCTGGACTGGAGTCGTACCTCGTAACAGCCATCGGGACAGGATTCATCAACCTCATCCACTGTCCACTGACGAAACCTGTCCATCCTTCAACAATCATGACGCTTTTGTTTACATTTACTCAACAATTGATGAGCTCCGAAGCCCTAAGAGATTGTTTACCATGATAACAGCCCTGGAGTGCGAAGTCTGGAAGCTCAGAAACGGTTTAGTAATTGTATACAAAGTTGCCATGATTGAGGAATGGTGCAAAGAGTTAGGAAATGATTACGTATATGGAAGCCTGGCACCGGGTTCCCTGGCCACGGGTTCCCTGGCCTCGGGTTCCCTGGCCCCGGGTTCCCTGGCCACGGGTTCCCTGGCCTCGGGTTCCCTGGCCAGGGGTTCCCTGGCCCCGGGTTCCCTGGCCACGGGTTCCCTGGCCACGGGTTCCCTGGCCTCGGGTTCCCTGGCCTCGGGTTCCCTGGCCCCGGGTTCCCTGGCCCCGGGTTCCCTGGCCTCGGGTTCCCTGGCACCGGGTTCCCTGGCCCCGGGTTCCCTGGCCACGGGTTCCCTGGCACCGGGTTCCCTGGCCCCGGGTTCCCTGGCACCGGGTTCCCTGGCCCCGGGTTCCCTGGCACCGGGTTCCCTGGCCACGGGTTCCCTGGCACCGGGTTCCCTGGCCCCGGGTTCCCTGGCACCGGGTTCCCTGGCACCGGGTTCCCTGGCCACGGGTTCCCTGGCCCCGGGTTCCCTGGCACCGGGTTCCCTGGCCACGGGTTCCCTGGCCACGGGTTCCCTGGCCACGGGTTCCCTGGCCACGGGTTCCCTGGCCACGGGTTCCCTGGCCTCGGGTGAACAGGCCAGACAAGTTGCCAAACCTGGCCACACAGCATAACTGTAGCGTGCACGGTGACCACACACACCCGCTGCAATGTGCTCAGTGTCTGCATAATTAACTATCATACTCTCGTGCACATACTAATGTACTCTAGTACTGACACACACACACACACACACACACACACACACACACACACATGCAAAGATTATGAGGAGGATCAAGACAGAGGAAGATAGTATGAGGCCACAAGATGACCTAGACAAACTGAAGGAATGGTCCGACAAATGGCTACTAAAGTTCAACCCAAGTAAATGTAAGGTAATGAAACTAGGGGCAGGAAATAGGAGGCCAGACAGTGGATCCCGAATGGGAGATGAAGTCCTTCACGAAACCGACAGAGACAAAGATCTAGGAGTTGATATCACGCCAAACCTGTCTCCTGAAGCCCACATCAAAAGAATAACATCTGCGGCGTATGCGAGGCTGGCTAACATCAGAACTGTCTTCAGGAACCTGTGTATGGAATCCTTCAGAACCTTGTATACCACATATGTAAGACCAATCCTGGAGTATGCGGCCCCAGCATGGAGCCCGTACCTTGTCAAGCACAAGACGAAGCTGGAAAAAGTCCAAAGGTATGCTACTAGACTAGTCCCAGAACTAAGAGACATGAGTTACGAGGAAAGGCTGCGTGAACTGCACCTCACGTCGCTGAAAGACACAAGAGCTCGGGGAGACATGATCACAACATACATAATTCTCAGGGGGAATTGACAGGGTAGACAAGGATGGACTATTTAACACGGGTGGTACACGAACAAGGGGACACAGGTGGAAACTTAGTACCCAGATGAGCCACAGAGACATTAGAAAGAACTTTTTCAGTGTCAGAATAATTAGTAAATGGAATGCACTAGGAAGTGATGTGGTGGAGGCTGACTCCATACACAGTTTCAAATGTAGATATGATAGAGCTCGAGAAGCTCAGGAATCTGTACACCAATAGATTGACGGTTGAGAGGCGGGACCAAAGAGCCAAAGCTCAACCCCCGCAAGCACAACTAGGTAAGTACACAAAGGTAGAACAGAGGAGAATAACATCCATCCTTTTCAAGATCTAAATTGTTACAGTTGAAGCATCATAGACTTCATGAATTTGTCTGTATTTCTCATTACTTCACCGTAAGCAGTAGTGACAACTGTGTATCGATCGGAGCAGCATCCAGGTCCACACGGACAAGCATTATGAGGCTTCGAATCCCAACAACATATACTAATACAATTTAAGATAAATTAACTGAAATTCTCTTTAAAACAAATAAGCATCTAATTTATGCAGTATATGTTTTGTTTTTTGTGTTTTAAATGGGAGTAAATGCGTTATAAAGTTTATGTATTGATAATGTTGAGATTTTTATTATTATTATTATTATTATTATTTGAGACTTCGTAAAGATTTCATATGGATACCATGTATATATGCATAATCCTGTCCTGTCTAGTGTATAATGTACAATCATGTCTTAAAGTATAATGCATAATCCTACCCAATTTATAATCCTGTTTAATGTACAATGCATAATCCAGCCTAATGTGTAATGTATTATCCTGTTTAATGTATAGTCATATGTAATGTAATAAGCTCTATAATGGCCTGGCAAGAGATCTCTAATTTTGTTTTCGTAGCTGAGGATGCGAGCGTGTGTGGTCATGGTGATGGCCGCAGCAACACTGGGCGGCGTGACGGCCAAGCACAGGGATAAGAGATATATTTACATCAACCCAGATGTAAACATGAGACTGGGTGAGTCCATTGGCTCGTGTGGGTGAGTCCTATGCCCCACTAAGCTAAACTCGGCCGACTATTGTATACATTACAGCAGTAATCCATTGTTTCTCCTCACTAACTCAGTGTTGATGAAGGCTAAGCTACCCAAGAGGTGGCACGGGCATGAATAGCCCGTAAGCTCATAGTGATGACCATACCATGGTTGCTATATATAGCAACCCGTCCTCGGGTGATGTTCATCGAAACAGCATTTATTGCAGTCGGTTCAGGGTCGATTCGACCCGAGATTGAATCCCAGATAGGGTGAAACGTGTGGACGCGTTAATTACCAGCTCGTCCTCATAAACGATGGCCATACGGTCGTTAATTTAGCTGTAAGTCCCCCACTGTTTATGTGAAAAGCTTTACACAAGACTTTCAGTTGATTACGTTCGAACCACTTTTTCTCGAACAGTGCTTCGCTTGCTTACTGTGTTCAAATCGCACGTGAACTCTAAACACTTCACCGACGTCCTACAAACACAAATAATTAGCAAGAGAACCAACACCTAGACTAACTTATCCTAGACCTAACTATACAAAATGTATGCAGGCGATGAGTCACAATAACGTGGCTGAAGTATGTTGACCAGACCACACACTAGAAATTGAAGGGACGACGACGTTTCGGTCCGTCCTGGACCATTCTCAAGTCGATTGTCACAATCATCACAATCGCCTTGAGAATGGTCCAGGACGGACCGAAACGTCGTCGTCCCTTCAATTTCTAGTGTGTGGTCTGGTCAACATACAAAATGTATGATATATATTAATACTAATATTCAAGAAATTACCGATTTTGGTCTCAAAATACAGCAACATATACAAGTAATTCTTTTTTGGGAGTTTTTTATCTTCGAAAAAAACCGGGAATGAACAAGTTATTGGATATTTTGTGTGCTTGCTTTGATCAGATTTAAACCATGTTGCTAACCATCACATTAGTTGTATGGAAACGATTGTTAGTTGCAGATTTTGCTGCAAATTCCGTCTCATGATATACATCGACTATGTGAGTATACATACTGTTTAGTTAGCTAATAATTGAAGCAACAGATGGGAATTTCCCACCAACAGGTGAGCTCGACTCATACAAGTCTTATCGGGTCATAAAATTATATTCAGTTTACTAGACGAGTTTCTGAAATATCAGCGCAATCAAGTCTGTCTTCTGACATGCACCGTGCAGCTCTATATAAATTAATTAAATAAATTAATTAAATTATAATTATAAAATCTCAGCTGTGTAAATTATCTCAGCTATGTAAGTTATCCAAGCTTCATAAAAATATCCAATATTATGCAAGCTATTTATCTGTCTCTATTACTGTTGTTTTATGTTTTATTACTGTTGTCGCTATTACTGTTATTTTAGTAAATATTACTGTTATATTAGTAGCTATTACTGTTGCTTTCGTAAATATTAGTTATTTTAGTAGCTATTACTGTTGTTTTAGTAAATATTAGTTATTTTAGTAGGTATTACTGTTGTTTTAGTAAATATTAGTTATTTTAGTAGCTATTACTGTTGTTTTGGTAAATATCACTCTATTTTTGGCAAATAATACTGGTGTTTTGAGTGAACATTATTGCTGTTTCGCAGGTTTCCTCATCAACTTGCCAGTGTCGTTGGCCATCCCAACACTGGCACCTGTGAACGGACGCTCCTTCGACCTCAGCAACACCATTCAGAGCGAGGTGTTCCCAGAGGACCTCGCCTGGGAGCCGGCCTACGAGCAAGCCTTAAGTCGGCTCACAACTTACTTTGCTCATCTCGAGGTCATTACTGTAGCAGTGTTGGGGTTTATAAGCGCCTTGTGTGTAAGCGACATGGCTCTGGTGATATTAAGGGGTAGTAGCAGTGAATGTAGGCATTTGTGAATGACTACAGAGGTACTTTGCAATACACATATCATTTGGACTCAAGATCTTATTTATAACGGTCGTTCAAAAGATGTTCTGACCAGAAACACTGGAATAATATAAGACAGATATCGACAATTAGAGAATAAACATAGCAGAAGTCCTTTACATTAAATGCACTCATATTTTTTATGTTATTTTGAATTAAAACATTTAGGTAAGTAGTAACAAAAGCGTAACGTGCTTTACTCTCTGCAGTTGCCAACGTTGTCGTGCCAGGAGCGATTCATATGTGAGGTGACTGCTGACCCGGAGAGTCTCTTTCCCATCAGCCAGATCTTCATGAAGGAACTTAAGTAAGACAAGGAATCTTGTCAGGTTTTTTATTATATATATATATATATATATATATATATATATATATATATATATATATATATATATATATATATATATATATATATATATATATATATATATATATGTTGTTGAATATGACCGAAAATGTAAGATTAATAATTCTAACACGAATTTTCTCAATATTTCTTATGTTTTTCTTCATTGTCGGTGGTAATAAATTCTCCAAAATTCACTTTTTAATTGTCTGACGCCTGAACGCGTTTCGTAATGCTTATTACATTTTCAGTAATGTAATGAAAATGTAATAAGCATTACGAAACGCGTTCAGGCGTCAGACAATTAAAAAAATAATTTTGGAGAATTGATATTTTTATTACCACCGACAGTGAAGATAAACATAAGAAATATTGAGAAAAATCGCGTTAGAATTATTAATCTTACATTTTCGGTCATATTCAACAACATATGTTTACAAGAAAGACTGCTATCAAAATATATTAATATATATATATATATATATATATACACACATTATATATACACATTACTTTTTTAGCATACAAATACATTTCACATGAATAGTGTCAAAAATTGCCATTTCAGATGAGTAGAGTAAAACCTATATACCTCTCACATGAGCAATCACATAAATACTGATTTTCGTCATATTTTTAGTAGCAACATTAAAGTACCTTCTGGAAAACGAAAATTTCGAAACCATGGCTAATTGCTCACTCTGCTGCAATGTGTTTAAATTTTCACTCTACTGTTCCTAAGGTCCCAAAAAACTCTAAATCTAAATCTTAAATCCCTTACAGGCTTCTGAACGGTCCTGTGGACACTACTGAACGGTCTCTAATGTGGCGGTACATGATGGCGGCACGTGAGGGCTTTACTGCTCCGGTTGACAAGTGTGCTCTGTCCTTCCCCAGCTGTCCGCTGTCGGCCCAGCGAGTTCTCAACATGCCCGTTCTCAGAGTCTGGCAGTATGTTTTCCCCAAACTGGATATAAAACCACTTTAAAACCTATTATCGGAAACTAATGCAAACTGTGCAGTCTTCTGCTCCAGTTCTCCTTTGGCTGTCTAGCCGGTTCTCAACACCAGTTAGTCAACACATTTTCAGAAAATTTCATTTAGAACCATTTAAAGGTGATAACTTTAAACAAATTAATTATTAAACAAATTATTCAAACTGTTAAAGAAGCGTAGAGTACTAGTGAGCAAAGGTCTTATGTAAACTAATGACAGTCAACAGTGAACATTAAATTTATATCAGTGATGTGATTATGTAATAAAAACATAAAAATGAGATTTTACTACTTGTACTACTCTAGTCATTATTGTCATTCCGAAAGTAATTTCAAGCACTGAAAAATTGCATTGGTCTGACATATTGGGTAAACATGGTTCGATAGGATTCCTTACACAAGTTTCAAAAAGCCGTTCTTATGTTGGCCAACCTGGCATATGCCGCTGATGTTATCCTCTTGATGTAGGCTTCGGGGGACTGGTCTGACGTGGCCTGCTCCCTACACCTATCTTCATTACATTACATTTGCTGGGGTTAAACTCTAACAGCAAGTTGTTAGACCATTCCTGCAGCTTGTCCAGGTCTTCTTGAATCCTCAAGCTGTCCACCTCTGTCTTAATCCTTCTCATAATTTTGGCATCATCAGCAAACATTAGGAGGAATGAGTTTATACCCTCTGGGAGATCATTTACGTTTATCAGAAACATGATAGGTCCGAGTACAGAGCCCTGTGGGACTCCGCTGGTGACTTCACACCACTCTGAGGTCTCATCCTTCACTATAACTCTCTGCTTCCTATTGCTTAGGTACTCCCTTATCCACTAGTGCGCCCTACCAGTTACTCCTGCCTGTTTCTCCAACTTATGCACCAGTCTCTTATAGGGTACTGTGTCAGAGGCTTTCCGACAGTCTTTGTGCTACCATGCACTCACACTTCATTGTACTACCATGCACTCACACTTCATTGTACTACCAAACACTCACACCTCACTGTACTACCAAACACTCACACCTCACTGTACCACCATTCACTCACGCCTCGTTAACCACCAATTCTACCATATACACATTGATACAGAAAAGTCAAATAAAACTGATATTTCTTGTCATTAAATTTAATTGTGTTCAACACTGTGTACACTGAATGCAGTAATATTTGTTCTAAAAAACCACACTGATAATTATGTTTACACTGCAAGCAATACTGTCCATTGTATGTATATTTTATTGATTTTGTTAATAAAAGCAAGTTCTGTACTGTATAAATTTTTATTGAAAACCTAAGAATATTTCTCACTGAGTCCACTGCTCAACTCCGGTCATTTTTATTAAATAAGCAAGTGTTAGGTCTCGACAAGGGCTGACCTCGTCAAGGGCTGACCTCGTCAAGGGCTGACCTCGTCAAGGGCTGACCTCGTCAAGGGCTGACCTCGTCAAGGGCTGACCTCGTCAAGGGCTGACCTCAACAAGGTTCATTAAGGTCGGTTCTTCATTCACGGGGTGAAGGGTCCATCCTCCTTTCACAGGGCGAGGGAGGTGGGGCTGGTCCCCTCATTGATGGGGAGACAGACAGGCTCCTCTTCTCGTGGATGATAGGAAGAGCCAGGCGCCATCTTTCCACTTAGCTTCTCTGATCTTCCATTGTCTTCAGTACTTTAGTAACCAGTTCTGGTTCCCATAAACCTGGTAGCTAGGCCTATATTGTGTATATAGTGTGAATGACAGGCAGAGCTGTCTTGCTCAAATTCAAAATACCAAATAAGAACGGAAACACAAATTAATTATACATTTTATTTCGTAGTTAAAATGCAAAATACAAACTCCATATTCATTTCAAAGGTTTTTATTAGCGTGTATTCCTTTCAGAATTCAAAAATACATTATCTTGTAACGCCCCCGACACATACATAGTGTGGCGACGCTAGATGCGTCCAAGGCCAGGGTTTATCAAGCACTAACGCCTCCACTTACGAAGCCTGTACATCTTTCAACGAACACAGCGAATTTCTTCCCATTTATTAAACAATCTATGAACTCGGAAGCACATGCAAGGTTGTTTATAACAATAATAACCATTGATTACGAAGTTTCGAAGTTCCTAAACTGTTAGACCAAGCCGCCACAAGGGTTGAAAGATGTACAGGTTTCGTAAATCGTTGCGTAAATTCCTGATGAAAGCTCTCTGGTTAAGGTTCTTCGTAAAGTCGTTTTGTTTCAGCCACATGTTATTGCGACCAGTGTTCTCTGTCTCTTATGCTCCAGCAAGTTATCCCTGTTAGTAAAGCTGCAAGTGCAATCTGGAAGCGATGTATTTCCAGACTTTAAGGACGGACATGTTTATGATGCGGTGGTGCGCCAGGCCGCAGCTGGAGTAGACATCGGCGCAATGGTCCGCGGGCGCCGCGAAGCCCTCGCGCGCAGCCGTCATATAGCGCCACATCAACGACCTCCGGTTCATCTCCACCGGCCCGTATATTTGTCTGGGGAGGAAGGGTTGTTGTTATAGATTCAGCTACTCGGAACAAGTTCCAAGTAGCACGGGCTATGGTGAGCCCGTAACTTACCTGGCACATGAGCGGGGCAAGAAGCACGGGTTATGGTTAGCCTCGTGGACAGGAGATGTCTCCCGTGTGGGAGGAAGGGTACACGGGCTGTTAGTTATGCTTCATCAGTGAGGTAAGGTGAGGTAGTTATGAGGAGAAAGCACAAAGTTAACATGGCTATATAGCACTTGGAAGGGATATGAGGGCAAGGAACTGGGATATGAGGGCAAGGATCAGGGATATGAGGAGGGAGAGAAGGAGCGGTGCCCAACCACTTCCAACATCAGGTATCGAACGCCGACCTGCAAGAAGCGAAGCCGTTGTTGTTCCAACCAGTCCAAGTGGGGGGATATATGATGCTTTAATATGTAATTATTTATAGTTGATTCGTGAATAAGTATCAATATTTTGTATATATTTAATTACAGCATTTATATTTACATAATGTTGTTTTATATTTCAGCGTGTCAAGTTAAAAAACAGATGAGCATACTAACCTCAATATGTAGTGTGAATAATGTAATTCACTAGAGTACGGATCTTAATTTATCATTTAATAAATTTATTAGCCCAAATACACCGTCAATCCCTAGTACTCAATGTCTACCGCGAAGCTGCGAGCAAATTGGGTAATTGTGCGTGTATGTGTACGCATCAAAGTCTTGGAAGACATAGACTGTACTTATCATACCTCAGTTCCTTCATAAAGGCTTCGCCAATGGGGACGAAAGACTCGGGGGAGGCTGCCATCTCGCACAAGAGGCGCTCTCGACACGACATTAATGGCAGCTGTGGACGGAAAACAACATTAACAAAATTGAGGGAGCCATATGCAGACGAGGAGTCACAATAACGTGGCTGAAGTTATGTTGACCAGACCACACACTAGAAAGTGAAGGGACGACGACGTTTAGGTCCGTCCTGGACCATTCTCAAATCGATTGTGAGAAAGGTCCAGGACGGACCGAAACGTCGTCGTCCCTTCACTTTCTAGTGTGTGGTCTGGTCAAAATATTGAGGTAACTCACTGCTTGCCTGCATCTACCTGGCGACCGCCATTTTGACATTCACACAAAATATTATGACTAGTGACCAAGGAGAGGGAGCAGATTCCTTTCGGATTTATCAACTATACCGTCTTACACCCCTTGTTACGATGAGAAGACTAATGCGATGTGGCTCACGGCATCCTTAAAGAGACCATCATCACTTCCCTCCCATCCCCAACCACGAAGAGCTGGCAGTTCTTAAGTCAGTGTCCCCAACCACAGAGAGCTGACTGTCTTCAAGTATGGAACCCCCCCAGCCAGAGAGAGGTGCCAGTCTTCAACTCAGGCCCTCCCTTCCCCTCTACCACAAAGAGGTGACTGTCGTCAAGTCAGGGTCCAGCTTCTATAAATATCATTAATATTCCCGCTGCAATAATTACCTCAAGATGATCAAAGTAGAGACCCAGACGAAGCAAGGGCTCCTCGTACGCTGGCTCCCACAACAGGCCACCCGGAAGGACCTCGTCGTTATTCAGGCTCAAGGAGTCGAAGGATCTTCCAACCTCAGGTTTCAATGTGGGTATCAAAATGCTCATTGGTATAGTGAGAAGTAAAGCTGGAAAAATAATCCATTATTAATAGCCTTAAAACGAACACTTACACGTGTGAAGGACTGATCAAAACAGTCCAGAAGGAAGTAACCATCGGTGAACTAATTTACGTCAAATTTTAGGGGAAAAAATAATGTCTAGACGATCTTTCGTCTTGACATTAGACGAAAGATCGAAATTAGACGACATTATGAGAAATATTTCATATTTGGTCGTTGAGATGTAAGTCTTGTTCATAGTATTTACTTATACCTTGATGAGGCATTCAGGAGAATGCGAAAGACTTGGAGTATTTCAATTCCTTACATAAAATATAAGGAACAATATTATAACCTATAATTACAAGAAGAGATATAGATATGCTAGTACTCACCTAGTTGTGTATGTATGGGTGTGTGTGTATATATATACTATTTGTGTCTGCAGAATCGAGCTATTAGCTCTTGGATTGTGTATTCACCTTGTTGTGTCTCTGTGTACATGTGTGTGTGTGTGTGTGTGTGTGTGTGTGTGTGTGTGTGTGTGTGTGTGTGTGTGTGTGTGTGTGTGTATGTGTGTGTGTGTGTGTGTACTCACCTAGTTGTACTCACCTAGTTGTGTTTGCGGGGGTTGAGCTCTGGCTCTTTGGTCCCGCCTCTCAACCGTCAATCAACAGGTGTACAGATTCATGAGCCTATCGGGCTCTGTCATATCTACACTTGAAACTGTGTATGGAGTCAGCCTCCACCACATCACTTCCTAATGCATTCCATTTGTCAACCACTCTGACACTAAAAAAGTTCTTTCTAATATCTCTGTGGCTCATTTGGGCACTCAGTTTCCACCTGTGTCCCCTTGTGCGTGTTCCCCTTGTGTTAAATAGACTGTCTTTATCTACCCTATCAATCCCCTTCAGAATCTTGAATGTGGTGATCATGTCCCCCCTAACTCTTCTGTCTTCCAGCGAAGTGAGGTTTAATTCCCAAATGTGTGTGTGTGTGTGTGTGTGTGTGTGTGTGTGTGTGTGTGTGTGTGTGTGTGTGTGTGTGTGTGTGTGTGTGTGTGTGTGTGTGTGTGTGTGTGTGTGTGTGTGTATCTATTACGATTAACAAGGACAGACGTTGGATTACCGCCATAGCTAAATAACCACGAATAGATGATAAACCACAAAAATTTTCAAGGACAGAACAAAAGAATTTATAATATTTATATTCAGCCGTATACCTACACACCTGAACTCCATACCCCTCTCCCTGCACAACCTCGCACAGGTTCAGGCGAGGGGCAGACAAGGCCACTCACCCATCAAGGTCGGGGCAGTAGGGTTTATAAACATGAATCTCTTCTGTCTGTCCTTCCCGGCCGCCTGGGACGCCGCCGCCATCGCTACCACCACCGCCGCCGCCATCCACACCGCCCTCATTCTTTGTTGATGAAAGATAACAATGGTTGCTATTGGTTCATTCTTGAGGTGCGAGTGTGTGGGGGTGTAGTTGTATGGGATGTGGGTGTGTGGGTTGTTGATGTGTTGGGTGTGTTTGTTCGTTTTGGGGTGTGGATTTTGGGTTGTGGGTGTATGGGGGTGAGGGTGTCTTGGATGTGTGGGGTGTGGATTTTGGGTTGTGGGTGTATGGGGGTGAGGGTGCCTTGGATGTGTGGGGTGTGAGTGTGTGGATGTGAGTGTGTGGGTGTGGATGTGAGTGTGTGGGTGTGAGTGTGTGGATGTGAGTGTGTGTATGTGAGTGTGTGGGTGTGGATGTGAGTGTGTGGGTGTGAGTGTGTGTATGTGAGTGTGTGGGTGTGGATGTGAGTGTGTGGGTGTGAGTGTGTGGATGTGAGTATTTGGGGTGTAATTCTGCAGTGTGAATGAGTGGGTGTGAAAGCAGGAAGTAGGGTAAGCCTAAGCTTTTCAAATTCATATCAAGATTAAGTTAGCTACAATTCTTTGCCAAAACATATTCAAAGATATTTTTTCATTTCCTTTTTTCAATCCAAATCATTTCCATCAAATTTCTTCCCTTATATCCTTGCTGAGCCACAACAATGACATAGCTTACTGCCTCTTTCCCGATCATTATTTGACTAAATCTTCAAGACTTCCGCTATGGTCTAGAATATACATTATCATTACACCGAGCACAGCTAATAAGCAAAGAAAACGCTAAAGCAACCTATTAATAACATTTAAAAACTATATGGACTCACCTGTTATTAAATTACTCAAAAGGTCGAGGAAGAATCAGAGAAGGCGCAGGAGACAGTCTGGTCCAGGCGGCGCCTCACACACCAATGACTCCTCACAGCGGCCCTACGATAGCTTGCGACATTTAGCGTGTCGTGTGAGACATATCAAAACCAACGGTGTCACTGACCAACCAGAACAACAGTCTCTATCTTCATGTTTAAGTCTAGATACTCTCAGTAAGATTAGGTTTGTATAGGTCATGTCATTTTCAAAACTACGTGAGCAGCTGGCATGTGTAATTAATAGGATGAAAATCTTGCATACAGTGACGACTCATCAAGCGCAGGTTCACCTCAATACAAAACTAGACAAGTCTGGGCTGATCTCATCGACAACATAATAAATACACGGAATAAATTGGAGATAATTATCCATACCATTGCTTCAAAAGGTCCGAGGCAGGCTGACACAAGGGGCAACAGCTTCACACTCAACAAATCATAATGTGGGACAGACAACAAGAGAGACTTATTCAACCATAGTAATTAATACATGGGATTCGGTGACCAACTGAAGCAATTAATACAAACACAGTACCATAGGACAGGGGTACCGTGGGACAGGGAGGGACAGGGGGTACCATGGGACAGGGGAGGAGCTCGGTAGGGTTGTGCAAGGTACCCCTGGCAACACCGGTTGGTCACCGTTCAGAAAACGTTCAGGGCGGACTGTTTAATTAATTTACCTGTTTCATCACAGCCTCAGGTCAGTGTCCGTTCATGGGGGCCAGCAGCTGATGGTACCATGGGAGCCCCAGCAGGTGATGGTACCATGGGAGCCCCAGCAGCTGATGGTACCATGGGAGCCCCAGCAGGTGATGGTACCATGGAAGCCCAGGCAGGTGATGGTACCATGGGAGCCCCAGCAGGTGATGGTACCATGGGAGCCCCAGCAGCTGATGGCACCATGGGAGCCCCAGCAGCTGATGGTACCATGGGAGCCCCAGCAGCTGATGGCACCATGGGAGCCCCAGCAGGTGATGGTACCATGGGAGCCCCAGCAGCTGATGGTACCATGGGAGCCCCAGCAGCTGATGGTACCATGGGAGCCCCAGCAGCTGATGGTACCATGGGAGCCCCAGCAGCTGATGGTACCATGGGAGCCCCAGCAGGTGATGGTACCATGGGAGCCCCAGCAGCTGATGGTACCATGGGAGCCCCAGCAGCTGATGGTACCATGGGAGCCCCAGCAGCTGATGGTACCATGGGAGCCAGCAGCTGATGGTACCATGGGAGCCCCAGCAGGTGATGGCACCATGGGAGCCCCAGCAGGTGATGGTACCATGGGAGCCCCAGCAGCTGATGGTACCATGGGAGCCCCAGCAGGTGATGGTACCATGGGAGCCCCAGCAGCTGATGGTACCATGGGAGCCAGCAGCTGATGGTACCATGGGAGCCCCAGCAGCTGATGGCACCATGGGAGCCCCAGCAGCTGATGGCACCATGGGAGCCCCAGCAGGTGATGGTACCATGGGAGCCCCAGCAGATGATGGTACCATGGGAGCCCCAGCAGGTGATGGTACCATGGGAGCCAGCAGCTGATGGTACCATGGGAGCCCCAGCAGCTGATGGCACCATGGGAGCCCCAGCAGCTGATGGTACCATGGGAGCCCCAGCAGATGATGGTACCATGGGAGCCCCAGCAGCTGATGGCACCATGGGAGCCCCAGCAGGTGATGGTACCATGGTAGCCCCAGTAGCTGATGGTACCATGGGAGCCCCAGCAGATGATGGTACCATGGGAGCCCCAGCAGATGATGGTACCATGGGAGCCCCAGCAGGTGATGGTACCATGGGAGCCCCAGCAGCTGATGGTACCATGGGAGCCCCAGCAGCTGATGGTACCATGGGAGCCCCAGCAGGTGATGGTACCACGGGAGCCCCAGCAGGTGATGGTACCATGGGAGCCCCAGCAGCTGATGGTACCATGGGAGCCCCAGCAGGTGATGGTACCACGGGAGCCCCAGCAGGTGATGGTACCATGGGAGCCCCAGCAGCTGATGGTACCATGGGAGCCAGCAACAGACGAAGTCTTAGACAAGTCCCCAGCAACAAACTAAGTCTTAGACAGGGTCCTAAAAGAATGCAAGAATAAGGTAAGTGAGCCCTTATATATGTGTGTGTGAGAGTGGTCGTCTTAACACCTTGTAAGGAGAACTCTTCCCTGACACTCATTATCTCAGTCGGAATGAATCTGAGCTACAAGGTCTGGGAAAGGCACACCTTGATAAGCTAAATTTTGTATGGAGGAAATGTTCAAGACGCATCTTAGGAATTCATCCTCGCACTTACTGGCATCCCCTTCCTGGCCTCAGGCTCAGGCCTGCAAGTTAAGGAATCATTCACAAGTTCTCATAAATATTATTATTTTTTATTTTTTTTGAGCAGCAGGATCTAAAACTTGTAACGGTATACAAGTTAAGATGTCATACTGATACAAGCACAAAATTTTATATATTATTTTCGTTTAGCTAAGTTGGGTTAGATAAGGTTATGTTGGGTTATGTGAGGTTACTTTACGTTACGTTACGTTACGTTTGTTTATAGAGTAGCGATGACGTTGAGGTTTACATACTTTTCTCAAGTGTTAGACTACTCGTCCGGGGACGCTAAAGCTTACGCCACGCGGAGTTGGTGTGAATGGAGTAGGAGGCCCCAGGCGCCTCAAGCTGTCTAAGATGGAAAGTTAAGCAGCCGGAAAGGCACATTGTGTGGTGGTGGTCCAGTGTGTTGTCAAGCTTTAGTGTGAGAACACGTGGTAGTGTTGATGTTTACCTCCAGTGTGACCCTCTGCTTTAACCTCGCTGCTTTGACACAAACATTCACCATTTTCTTATATCTAGCTGTGAGAGACAACACCTATGACCGCGGTAGTTTAAAGGTTTTAAATAGTATCATTATTATCATAAATAATGTCTACAAATGAGGCAGAGGGAATGTAAAGCATGTGAGTAATCACAGACCCGCCATAGACCCACCGCTGATCCGTGACTGAAGAAGCTGTAACAATCAACATGCGGGTGAGTATGTCGACGTTTAACAATTCTTTCTTCTCTTTAATATAGGCCATCGCACATTGTCAGAACAACTGCACTTCCAGCTGCACCCGTGGTGCGGTGTAGGGAACCATCAGTGTATATAATTTGAGAGAGAGAATGCTCTGTGGACAGAGCATCAATATGGCTTAAGGCGTCGAGCTTTGCCTCAAGACGAAGCTTGGGCTGATCTCTAATTTGCTTCTTGGGTGAGGAGTCCGTATAAACAACTGGGCCTCTACCCTTCAGACCGAACTATTTGCCTTGATCCTTGCACTGAAATGTGTACAAGTCTCCAAACTTGATACATTAATTGTAAGTGACTCCTTATCATCCTTAGTTAAATGCTCTCAACTCTTTAAGACATAACTGTAACATGCTCATGTCCGAAGCTAGACACAAATACAACAAAATTATTAAGGATGGTAACAGAGTCCATTTCATGTGGTCTCCATCGCATGTTGGCCTCCGAATGCATGATAGAGCTGATAAGTTAACCAAAGAATCTGCCTTTAAAGGAGACGTCGAGTGTAACCTAGGATTGTCAATGAGCAATCTGAGAGCAGCAGTACACCGAGAACTTCAGCAAGATCTTGTAGATCTGAGGCAAAGTGAAATTGACACCAGTAATTCCATCTATCATCATACTATCATGCAAGAGGAGCCACACATCTATGGATCATCCAATAAAATCAGCAGACTTCTAGATGTTACTACTGCTCGGCTTAGACTTGGTTACAAGTATCTCTGGGAATTCTCATTATCTGCCGATGTAGACCTGACCAAATGTAAACTGTGTCAACAAAATTATTCGCACACCCTCCGTCACTATGTGATGGAGTGCGAAAAGATACGTGAATTTAGAGACAATTGTATAACCAATGTTCCAACGATGTGTAAATATTTTATTCAAAATGATCTGCTTCCAGAAATTTTAGCCAAATATCCCCAGTTCGCTAACTGTAGGTAGTAACTGAGTGATTGTAACCTATCCACCGCTGCCCACTGGATGGGGGGCGGTGTGCAGGACAAACATATAAATTTTGACACTAGCTCTCCACATATGTCAGTTGCTTAGTTTAGAACCTGTACTTGTGGTCGGTCTCGAACCCATTGTTGATGTGACGACTTATACTGAATTTTGTAACTAGCTCATCAAGATTGTAACTTGCTTAGCTAAATGAATTGTGGGGTTCAGTCCCTGAGCCCATTATGTGCCTCTGTAACCCTTTCCACTACCGCCCACAAGATGGGTATGGGGTGCATAATAAATGAACTAAACTAAACTAAACTCCCTTAATATAGTGGGCAAGCGATATATATATATATATATATATATATATATATATATATATATATATATATATATATATATATATATATATATATATATATATATATATATATATATATATATATCATCATGTCAGCGTCTGAGTGTGGCGATCCAGAGGGGAAACGCCTGCTGTACCCACGGTTTCTGCCTGGAATCTGACAGCTGACTACTGTGCTACAAGGCCCATTTTTCTATATTTTAACCACGCCTTAATCCTCAGAGTTAAGCCTTGATTGTTGGCCTCGCGAGCACAGGGATAGAGGCACTCCAGTAGGGTCTGGATAGGCTGAATAGGCTATGGAAACCTGAATAGGCTTAAACAATGAGACGCCAACAGGGCCGCGGGGACGTTGAGCCCCGAAATCATCGCAAGGTAACCAAGATAAGCACAAGGTGGGTTAGGTTAGGGTGTTAGAGGATGGAGCTATAACACTATAACCATCCACCACACCGTCACAACCATCCACCACACCGTTACAACCATCCTCCACACCGTCACAACCATCCTCCACACCGTCACAACCATCCTCCACACCGTCACAACCATCCTCCACACCGTCACAACCATCCACCACACCGTCACAACCATCCTCCAGACCGTCACAACCATCCACCACACCGTCACAACCATCCACCACACCGTCACAACCATCCACCACACCGTCACAACCATCCACCACACCGTCACAACCATCCACCACACCGTCACAACCATCCTCCACACCGTCACAACCATCCACCACACCGTCACAACCATCCACCACACCGTCACAACCATCCTCCACACCGTCACAACCATCCACCACACCGTCACAACCATCCACCACACCGTCACAACCATCCACCACACCGTTACAACCATCCACCACACCGTTACAACCATCCTCCACACCGTCACAACCATCCACCACACCGTCACAACCATCCACCACACCGTCACAACCATCCACCACACCGTCACAACCATCCACCACACCGTCACAACCATCCACCACACCGTCACAACCATCCACCACACCGTCACAACCATCCACCACACCGTCACAACCATCCACCACACCGTCACAACCATCCACCACACCGTTACAACCATCCACCACACCGTTACAACCATCCACCACACCGTCACAACCATCCACCACACCGTCACAACCATCCACCTTCCTACCATCAACGCCGCTAATCACCCAACCTGTCCTCCTACAAAGAACGTTGTGTTTCGTTCGTATGCGTTACATACGGCCAAAAATTGTCGTACTAGAAAATGGTAGCGGCTGGCGAAAGTGACTCTTCCGTTTTCTGTTTTGGGTCCTCTGGTAGGTTAGGAGAGGACACTTTAAATTGACTGTTTTCTTTAGGTTGGGAAACCCTAGGAGGACGGGCTGCTTCACCAGCGCTGCGACGGGTCACGGCAGCGCCCGGAGTCTCGCGAGGCGTCGTCACGGTGGTGGAAAGTGACACCCACTTACCAGTACTGCCCGCCGGCTTCATAACTTTCCTCCACTTTCCTCCAAAGTGTAGTTACTTCCCTGTGGTGCCCCTGCCATTCCCCACCCCTCTCCCCCACCCACCATCACCATCCACTTTCCTTCCCTCCTCTTTCCTTTCTAGACCGTCCTACAGTGACCACAGTACAAGATCTCTTCCACAGAGAGATTCACTGCCACACTAAGAACCTTCATAGACAACTGAACTGCCGAGCTCAGCATTGGCAGCTTCTTGGGTGAGGAAATCGAACTGAAAAGTGGAGTACGACAAGGACGCTGCCTGGCATCACGCCCACGATGTAACTCTAATAACTTGCCAACCAGGACAACCAGAGATGTTACTGGCCAACACAACCAAGGAGGCAACAGAATTCATCAACCAATGAATTATGCGAGAGCATACAGTAAGGAAGATACGAGGAGACGCCATGTCAGGGCCACAGCCATCGAGGCGGGACCCCAGCGGTAGCCACGGCGTCTCTGTTGTCAGGCGTAGAAAGTTTTTAGCGAGACAGTGTTTACATCAGACACCTGGCCTCCCTTAAGCACCCAGGAGCAATGATGGAATTCATTGTGGTTACCCGAGGCTGAGCCCCTCCAGGGAGCTGGCAGCAGGCACAAGTGTTTCATGCTGGATTCCATACTCGTCTGCTGATAGCTGTCTCCTCTTCCTTCTCATTGTTTTCTCTCTTTCTCTCTCTCTCTCTCTCTCTCTCTCTCTCTCTCTCTCTCTCTCTCTCTCTCTCTCTCTCTCTCTCTCTCTCTCTCTCTCTCTCTCTCTCTCTCTCTCTCTCTCTCTCTCTCTCTCTCTCTCTCTCTCTCTCTCTCTCTCTCTCTCTCTCTCTCTCTCGTAAGAAGCCTCAGATTGATCCAAAAAGTCAGATATAACGCAAATAATGCATGACATTAATAATGAAGTTAACTAGAACAAAAATAATTTGGTTTACATTTATTCAGAGTTTCGTACAAAAACAGAACTTTCTCAAGTCAGTCATTTTAAAGTCACCATTCAGCGAAAAGTTGGCCAATTCATACATATATATATCTGACCTACGCTTGAAACACTTCGGCAATCTCAAGTCTCAGGAATCTCTTATTTTTTTCCCCCAAATGTTTCCCAGATTCCTAAATGTTTATACATACATACGCATCTGTTCATGTTACCATTCATGTATGTATACGTGTGTATGTATGCACATGAGACAATACAGAAGGGGGTGTCAGTATGTAGCCTACA